GCCTCCAGAAGCAGCTGTTGAGTGTGATGAGTCAGACTCCTGTTTGGAACAAGCTAACAGTAGCCAGTTGTCCATATAATGATGAAAGCACAACTCGAGAGCATGTAAGCGACAAGTGAATGCTCTAAGCACCAGACAAAAAACATATGGGGCTGAAGCAAAATTGAAGGGCAGTGCACAAAACTGATAAACTATCCCGTGTTGAACAAATTAAAAATAGGGTCACGACTGACAAGATATTATAATAAGCAAATAAACATTCACGACATCCATCTTGGTTATCCATAAACCTGGAGAAAAAGCCCACTTGAGAGTGAGAAATCACTCCATGGTGAAACAGGGCAGATTGAGAAATTGATTGAGGAAGAGAGAAATCTATTACAGGCCACCAGTCTCTGACAGATACTGGCAGGTGGTAGGATCCCAAGGCATGGGGAAGAAAACGAGTACCTGAGACAAAGGAGGGGGGGGGGGAATTGTAGGACAAGTCCCTCTGATAAAACCCAAAGAACCCACAGATCTGTGGTAAAAGATTGCCAGAGGGGAACAAATTTGTACACTCGAGCTCCCACCAGACAGGAACCAACTGGGTAGTCATCAATACTGTTGGCAACATGTCCACCTTTGTCAAATAATACGATAAGAAACCTCTGGAAGGAGGAACAGGTAAAGGCTGAGAAGGACTAGAATGGTAAAAAGGAATAGGGTCTTGTCTTGGCTCTGACTGACAAACTTGCTACCAAAGAGGAAAGGGTAGAGTGTTGATGCACAGACTCCACACATTATTCCAAAGTACATGATTGAAAACATACTGTTTTAAAAAGGGATCATACACAAATCCCTAACATAATAACATAAGAGGGTGGCAACCAAACCTGGTACAAGGCCACTTTTCGACCCAGAAGATCCAAGCAACAGAGAAACCACATGTGTAAAGTGAGAGCTGAAGATGACAAGCTAGCCAATGTGGTGGTAATAAGGGAGAGGCTTTCCCTTGAAAAACCCTCAGGGTCTCAGTGGATTGCTTCGGAAAGGAGATGGATAGTAAATAATTACTGCAAAAGAGAAGTAAGTGTAAGACAAAGTCATCACGAGAGTATGTCTCACCCTTTTTGGTGGAGGGTTGTCACATGATTTGCATGAATTCACTACCACAATGTGATACTTTGTACAAACTGTTTTCAAAATACATCCCACAAAACCACACCATATCTAAGT